ATGGCAGCCACGCATGATAATACGAGCATTTTCCACAATGCCCCGAAAAGGGCATCTCTCTCCTACGTCTTCACTCAACAGTTGAACCACTTGCTCCGCATCCGTTTCTATAATCTCTTGATTGTATCCTCTTTGGAGAATGATGGTAAGCCCTTTGCAGAAAACCCAAAGTTCGGCTTCAAGGCTAGTGCAAATCTCAAGTCTGCCGTAGTACCCACTAATCCATGACCATTTTTCATCACGAAATACTCCACCAAATCTGCCACCACCACCAAGCCTGCGAGTGCTACCGTCTGTGTTAAGCTTGAGTTTTCCTGCATTTGGGCAAGACCACTTAGTTAGACTCTTAGCTTTAATATGTGCTGTGACATCAAGATTAAAAGCAGGAAAATTCTCTTTGCTATAGTTTAAAATAGTTTTCACACTCTCATAACTTTTGTTACGATTCTTCCAAATAGTCCACAATGAAATAAGGAATAAGCTAGAATTTTTGTGCTTCCCTTTCACATTTTGAATGATCCAATCTCTCCAAGGTAGAGATAGCATGTTGGGATGCCATTTCCTGCTAAAGACTTGGCACCATATCTGAATAGCTTGAGGGCAGAGCCTAAGCAAGTGTTCCATGTTTTCCATATTCACACAGTACGGGCATTTGGGATCATCAGTGAGACCCCTCATGGCTCTCTTATGATTAGTGAGAAGCTTGTCATGGAGAACAAGCCACAAGAAACTCTTAAGTTTCGAAGGAACCTTAAGTTTCCAAATCCATCCCCAATCCCCCACTTGATTTTGTTGATCAACAATTAATTCATACGCACTTGATGTAGAGAACTCTCCATTAGAGGATTTCATCCATCTGGAAGTGTCTTCTCCATCATTGGTTTGGGGGGGGTTGTAATTTTAAAATTTCAGCAACCATATTCAAAGGTAAAGAGGTATGCAAAGGATTTAAATCCCATTCACCATTATCATCAAGAAGGGAGTCCACAGTGATAGCCTTAAAGTTTGGAATTTGATTGGTGGGTGAGTGCAATTCTTTGTCAAGTGCCCTATCACCACACCACCAATCCTTCCAAACTCTAACTTTAGATCCTCTACCCAATTTCCATCTAATTCCCTTAATTAGGAGATCCCTGGTATTCAAAATACCTTTCCAGGTATGTGATATTCTCTTGCCTTTCCGCTTGGATAGAAAGGACTGTTGTTCCAAATATTTAGTTTTGAGCACTTCCACCCAAAGAGTATTATCCTCATGAAGCATTTTCCACCCCAGTTTAGATAGAAGGGCTAAATTGTGATCTCTAGCCTTCCGAAGCCCAAGACCACCATCTTTTTTTATCTTACAAACTTGTTCCCAATTTACAAGATGTACTTTCCTTTTCTGAAGGGTATCACCCCAAAGAAAATTTCTATTGATTATATCAATCTCATCACAAACTTTCCTCGGTAGTTCCATAGTGTGCATGGTATAAGCTGGCATAGCACTAGTAACAGATTGAATCAAGGTTGCCCTCCCAGCCAGGGACAGCATTCCAGATTTCCACTCTGTTAGTTTATTCTTAAGCTTTTCCAACATATTCAGAAAATGACTTTTGCTGACTCTATCATGGAGTAAAGGAACCCCAAGGTACTTTCCCAAATTTTGAGTTATGGGAATAGTACTCAAGCTACTCAGCTGCATGGCTCTCCTCCTAGCAATATTAAGAGACACAAATAGATGGGATTTATGTAAATTAACCTTCAATCTAGAAATGACACTAAACTCAGTCAAGGCTTTCAGAATGGTGTGACAATTACGATTATTAGCTTTAGCAAATAGAATCAAATCATCCGCAAAGAATAAGTGTGAAATAGTAGGACCACTCTTAGCCAAGCAAAGTCCAGTCCATTCTTTATCTTGCACTTTTTGTGTAATCATGGCAGAGAGTCTTTCCATGCATAGCACAAAAAGATACGGGGATAGAGGGTCCCCTTGACGTAAACCTTTAGCAGGTTTAAACTCATCAAGGGGTTCTCCATTCCATAAGATAGCCGTATTCACACTTGTGACACAATTCATAATCATAGCCACCGGTTTCTCATCAAATTGAAATTCCAACAAAGTTTGCCGCAAGAAAGTCCAAAAAATATTATCATAGGCCTTCTCAAGATCCACTTTAAAAATCATGAATCCCATCTTCCCTTTTTTCTTATTCAAAGTATGGATTGCTTCTTGAGTGATGATGATATTATCATGTGTAGACCTACCCGGAATAAAGCTACTTTGGTTGGGGCTAATGATATCATTCAAGATAGGACGAATTCTATTGACAAGGATTTTGGATATGATTTTATAAGTCACATTACAGAGGCTGATTGGGCGGAACTGCTTCACAGTTTTAGGGTTAGCAACTTTCAGGATAAGAGCTACAAGAGTTCTATTTATCTCAGGGGGAATAGTAGAGGAGGAAAAACAGTGTTGAACAAATTCGGTCACAGAGTTGCCTACAATTCCCCAAAAAGTATGATAGAAGATAGCTTGGTACCCATCACGACCGGGGGGCTTAAAAGCTTTAATGTTTTTTACTGTCCTCCAGATTTCATTGGCAGAGACCTCCCTAACCATTTCTAGTTGATCATCAGCATTAAGGTGCTTGGTCAGATTATTCCAATGATGAAGATTACTAGTAGGAGTTTGAGCAAAAATATTTTGAAAATACACATGCACTAATTTTTTTAGCTCAATAGGGTTATCAATCCACACCCCCTCCTCAGTTTTCAAAACAGTAATTTTGGTTTTCCGTCTTTTGATAATGGTAGACATATGGAAAAATTTTGTATTTCACTCACCCTGAGTAATCTAGTTAGCACGGGATTTTTGAAACCAAAATAGTTCTTCTTGGTACAAGATTCTATTATACTCAGTAGTGAGCTCACTTTCCAGTTGATGAAGATTGTGAGAATAATGATTGGCTTGAGAAATTTGGATCCCATTAATTCTGCCGAGCAGCCATCTTTTACGTCTAAAAATATTACCAAAAACATTTTTATTCCAATCCTGCACAGCAGAGGTTAAGTGATCCAAGTTCCCGAGTAAGTTGTTCAGAGGCCTGGGCCAATTTTTCTCAACAATATCACTAAATCCCTCATGAGCTAACCAAGCAGCTTGGAATTTAAAGGACTTAAATAAAGGAGTAGAAGTATTAGTACCTTGAGTATGTAGAAGAAGTAGAGAGTGATCCGAGTAAGTGCGAGGCAAGTTTCTAACATACCCTTCTGGGAACAGTGTTCTCCATTCAGTGTTACAACGGGCACGATCCAATCGAACCATAGTATTTGCCCAACTTTTTCTATTGTTAGTCTAGGTAAGCCTAGGACCAACATAGCCTAAGTCCATAAGATTGCATCTATTAACTCTATCCATGAATTTCTGGCTCCTGTGTTGGCTCTGACTTGTATTTTGATTTATATTAACTTTGAAGCTCCTTTTCTCCTCAGAACTGGAGTAGTCGTTAAAGTCCCCTGCTACAAGCCATGGTTCCTGAATATTTTGAGCAATGTCTTCCAAACCATTCCATAGTTCCTTTCTCATTCAGATGTTAGGGCTTGCATAAACTGCAGATAGGACCCAGTCTGGATACTCTTGTCTTGATATAGTAGCTGTAATCATCTGGGAAGTTGCATCATGAACCCGGACATTAGCTTGACAAGGATTCCACAATATCCAAATACCTCCACTTCTGCCAACCGGATCAACATAGGTGGAAGCCGTGTACCCCAGATTGTTGAAAAACATGCCCATTGTTTGTAGTTCCACTTTTGTCTCCATGAGTATTAACATATCAGGTTTGTGTAGATTTACCAATTCCCGCAATGTTCTCCGGAAACGAGCATTACCCGCACCTCTGCAATTCCATATTATCATATCCATAGCTGACATTTTGAGGTTTGGCCAGTCCTCTGTCTCAGACAACCCCAGTATTTTTCGGACACTCCTCTGTTTGTCCTTTAATGGCCTCATCGGTTTCACAAGCACCATATGTCTCACATTGTGTGAATCTATCTCCCACCATGGTTGTATCAGAAGCTTCACCTCTGCGAGCCACCAATCGATTCTGACGCGGTGATAAGCCTTTTTCTCGAGTTCTAAGAATATCAGTGCTCTGGACTGGTCCACTCGATGTTCTTCCATCTGAATGTTCTCTGCAATTTCCTCCATTAGTTCTTGCTTCTTGTCGCCCTCCAGAATCGGGTGGTTTACCTTTTCTATTTTTCAGTCGGTTATCTAGGGTTGTGATGGCAGTCTTGGTAATGGTATTACTGAAGGCGTTGGAGAGGACGACAGTGGGGAGGGTGTTAGGGTTTTCTGTGTTAGGTTGTTCCCCTGGGCTGGGTTTTGGTGCTTCATGTGTGTTAGGATGTTGATTGGCGTGGTGCTTCCCTCTTGTATCCCTAGGCCCAGCTGGAAGGTCCCTTCCTAAATGTGGGCTTACATTCTCCATTGTTTTGGGTAAGTCCATGTCCATTACTTGGGCAGGTTGTGTTAAGGTGGGTTGCGTTTCCAGATCTAGGTCTACATATTTCTCCTGGGCTTCGTTTATTTTCGGGTCTCCACTAGTTTCCCCCTGGTCTTGGTCCATTTGTAGTCCTGCAAAGCGATTACTCTTATAAGAGTGGGCCTTCTGCTTTAGTTTCCCTTGTTGAAATTTTCTTTTAGTGGTGACTAAAGTCCATAGCCCATAACCACCAGTCTTTGCCTTAGTACAAACTTCCTTCATCTTTGGCCCAGTGGGTTTTGATGTTCCTAGCCTAGTATCAGTGTCTGATTGGCTAACGGTCACATTTTGTGTTGTCTTCTCCGGTTACATCACTGGAAATTCAAAACACTTCTCTTTCTGATGACCAACACGGCCGCACGAGAAACACAGCAGGTGTAAATGCTCATATTCTACAATGTAATGATATCTGCCAATGGAAATATGGGATATGAGCGGTTTACGCAGGTCCATCTCAATACATACTTAGGCATACTTCCCACGTGCTGCCACGGCAGTGCTAATATCAATCTTTAAAAGTTTACCAAGCGCCTTCGATATATGGTAAAGGACTTTTTCATTATAGTATTCAATAGGGAGATTAAGGAATCTAACCCAGATTGCGGTTGTGTCCTTCTCTGCTTCATCCGCTTTAAAATCGGCTTGCCATTTACGAACTATCACATACCGGTCCATCATTACCCATGGTCCACCCATGTATACCTTGGAATAATCTTCCATCATTTCAAATTTCACTATGAAAAAGCCATGTCCGATATCCAGAGTTTCGAAATCTGCCTGCGGATTCCATAACTTCCGCATACGATTCACAAATAATTTATAGCCAACATTCTTGCCCAAGATTCTCACAATGAGACACTTTTGCCATGGTTCTCTAACTTTTTTGAGAAGCCCAGCAGGTATTTTAATGACCGAATTTGAACTGGTCCCTTTGTACTCCAACTGATCCTCTCCCTCCTCTTCCTTCTCCATTTCCTCATCAAAAGAGAGGTAAGCCTCCTCACAGTCAAAGTTTCGTTCTCTCTCATTCTCATTGAATCGAGATTTCAAGAGAGCTTGTTTGAAGGATTTATGGGCTCCCAAATTCAGTTCTTGTTCCTGAGCGTTGGGATCATTTTGAGCTGCTAATTCCTCCACCATTCTCTCGTCTAGCTTTTCCAGTGAGTCATGTTGGTTCTGCAGCAGTCGTGTCCGTTTGTTTTACCTTTTTCTTGCTCCGATCAAGGTGGTCCTGTTCTTCCGATGAGGTTGCGTGGTTAGCAGCTTCAACGGTCATATTTTAGAGAGAGAAATTAGAAACTTTTTTAATCAAACACCATTAAATTAACTTAACAACCGTTATTTATTATATTAAAATGACACAATCTGTTAAATTAAGGAGCAAAATCGAGCAAATTGAAACTACAATGATCAAATTGATACATCGTGTAAAATACAAAGGCTATTTACGTAATTTACCCTACAAATTATAATAATAACTCTCTAACCCCTTTGGTACGTCATTTGGACAAAATTTTGGTTAAGACAAATTCCAACCATCTCCAAGATCTAACCAGATATGGTTTGTTTATTTATTTTTACTTATTTTTTTAAATAAAAAAAGTCTTCAAGAAGAGGTTAAAAGATTAGATAGCTTCATTCTTATTAAAAGCAATAATATATATTCTTTAAAAAAATCAAGTGATAGAGATATGAAAACTAACATGTAGTTCGACCGTCACTCAATTATACCACAAAATGAGTTAAATATATATATATATATATATATAAAGGGATCAAGAATTCTTTCCTCTCAAATTCTTCGTTCTCATGTCTCAATATATTATTAAATTAAATAAAAAATTTAATATACAATCTTCTAAAATGCATGATTTCATTATTAGAGTGCATTCAGATAATAGGACAAGAATTTAGTGAAAAATAATTGCGTAAATTCTGATAATAGTTCTTATATTTTATTCTTTGTATTATTTTAATCTCTGTACTTTTAATTTATTCAATTTTGATTTTGCATTTATAATTTTGTCTTAATTTGGTCCAATTAATTAGCATTTTTTTTAAAAAAATATACACGTAAGTGTCACGTGCTATATTTTTAGGGGCAAAATTATAAACTTATTTAAGTCAGTTAGTTAATCTCAACTAATTTAGTGATAATTTTTCTTTAAAAATACTAATGATATTATTAATTGGATCAAATTGAAATAAAATCTAAAATTAATTGTAAAAATTGAGAGCTTGTTTGGCATAAACTAAAATAACACACTTTTCTTTTATCTTTTTAGTTTTTTTGGATCACATTACCTTTCTATTTTTTTGTATATCTTTTATAAGAAATCAAAAAGTATACTAATCTAATAAATACAACCCACATTAAAAAAAAATAAAAATATTTACCCTAAAAAAATAAAAAAAAAGAAAATTTTTAAATATTAAAAAAATAAACTCTAAACAATTTCAAAATAAACCAAAAACTAATAACTATTTTTAAAAATCAAAATCAAATAAATTTTCTCTTTTCAAATCTCATTTCAAAAACTTATCATTCAAAATATAACTCAAAACTTAAATCTCATTTTAAAAACTAAACCAAATGGAAGTTTTCTTCTTTCAAATCCCACCACTGCCTACTTTGTATTTGGATTCTTTTTAGTTGAGCATTTGACTGGAGAGGTTGGATTAGACCTTGGTGAGCCAATCTTGTGATGCACATCGATTATTTTAACAATTTATTTTATAAGATATATTGGGCAAAGTATTTATGTAAAAAATTAAAATAATTAAAAATATTATCTTAAAATATTATATTTATTATTTATTTTTTTAAGACAAATATGATCTTATCATATAAATTATCAATATTCGATTAATTAAAAATTTTACATAAATAATTTGTAGAATAAAACTTATAAGATAAATTGAGAGGGTAATTTATACCTAAATTGGGCCGAGATGGGTAAATGGGCCGAGCTGGGTAAATGGGCCGTTCTTTGGGCTACAGTAAGAAGGGCTGGATGAAAGAGGGCTTGTAGTTAGCCCGGTCCTGGTAAGCCCTATTGTTATCCCGGTCCGAAAGAATCTTGAAGTTAGTCCAGTCTAGAGAAGCTTTGAATATAGCCCGGTTGCCGTACTCAAAGTTAGTCCGGTCATGGCTTATTGTGGTTATCTCGGCCAGAACCTTGCTGTTTGTTAGCTCGGTCTGATCACACCATGGTTAGCACTGGGAGAAACCGGGGTAAGAGTAATGAATGGAAGAGCCGAACTAAAGTTAGCTCGGTCTAGTCTGCGGCTTAGCATAGCCATGCTTACCTCGGTCATATTGGAGTCCGACCATTGCAAAACCATCTCACTTGGTTTAAGCAGTGAGGAGGGTGTTGAAGGATAAGCATTATCTTTCAGGAGTATGACTCCGAGGAGGACTCTACATGGAGGAGTAAGAGTCATACTAGGATTGTGCCACGCGGAACCTATAAAAGCTCACAACATCACATATGGAGAGGTAACACAACTTTGATTCCCAAACATACAGAGCTTTTTGTCTATTTGTCTATTTTGCTGACTTAGGCATCGGAGAGGTATCTGGCACACACCCGCCGGCTAGCTCACGTTTGTGTTTTCAGGGAGTAAAGCGACGACGTACGGAGGAGTGCAGACTTGATCAACAGGATTATACGGGAAGAATATTTCGTGCCCGTACAATTGGCGCCGTCTATGGAAAACATCAGACTAGAACAAAACCTCTTGATCAAGCTTTTCTTCTTTATAAGCAATGGCGCACAACGAAGATTTTCCGCAATCCGCCATCGACGGACAAACACCAGAGGGGGGTGCGAGGCACGAAGGCCTACCTTCTATCCCTCCTATGGTGGACTTAGAGCCACAGCGACAGAATCCCAGGAGGGATGCAAGGGGGAGGAGGCAGACCAACAGCCCCCGTCACTCTCGTTCACAAAGTCCTGATAGACAAAGGCGGAAGATTGATCCTCAAGTTCTGGAGGACCGCGTGAAGGAGCAAGATGAATTGATAAGGAAGATGGCGGCGGACATGGAGGCCATGAAGCGCCAGATCAAGGGAAAATGGGTGGGAGATGGGCGAAAAGGCAATGCGCCTCCTCGCCACTCAGAAGATCGTAGTAGGCATACCACGACATCGCAAGTAGAGAGTAGAAGCCTCAGGACGAGCGACACTCATTCAAGGACTTCCAGAACTCGTGACTCCAGGTCTGAGAGAACGAGATCACTAAGGTCTTACACAGAGGGAAGTACTTATCGGCCCTCACACACGCACCATACATCACCCAGGCAAACTGAGTTGCCTAGATCGTCCGACTTACGGACTGTTCTTGAAGAAAGGGCACGACAGAAGGAGGATGCTAGGACGCGCGATCCACACAGAGTTTCAGCCCTTCAGCGGTTGGCCCCTCGGACACATGGAAGTGTCGAGGTTGGGATGCCAATACCACACATTGCCTACGAACCAACAGATAAAGCGTTGGCAAGACTCCATTGCTCGCCGTTCGTTCCAGCAATTGAGAACGCACCATTACCCTCAGGCTTCATCTAGCCTAAATTTACCACGTACGAAGGGAAGACAGACCCTTACATGCAACTAAGCCATTTTCGTCAGGTTATGGCAGTATATCGACGGAACGAAGCTTTAATGTGCATCCTCTTCCCATCAAGCCTTGGTGACCTAGGCTTGACTTGGTTCGAAAAACTTCCAGAAGGCAGCATAGCCTTCTGGGCGCAATTGGCGGAGGCATTCGTTACTAGGTTCAGAACGAACACCAAAACCCCGGTGAAAATTGATCAACTGCTCTCCATCGATATGGGCGAAAAAGAGTCATTAAAATCCTACAATAGCCGCTACTGGGAGACCTTCAACCAGATTGGGGACTGCCCCACCAATCTCGTCATCGCACAGTATAAAAGAGGCATTCCAGTCGGGAACAGACTAAGGGACTCAATTACTATGACACCGTCTCTCACAATGGAGGCCTTAATGGAGAGAGTACACCAATACATTCGGGTAGAAGAAGATAGCGCTCGTGCTAAATCAAAGTCTAGCACGACCACAGTACCAGATAAAAAAACCGCGGCAAAGGTTAACGCGGTAGAACGTCCGAACAAAAACGGACAAGGCAGGCGAGACAACGGAGAAAATCAGGATAAAAGATGGTTGAGAATCCGCACTGCCATTACCACGGTATTCAAAAAACCAATCTACCGGATCCTAAGCGAGATACGCGATGAACCTTTCGTCAGATGGCCTGCCAAGCTAGGAGAAGCTCAGAAGGACTACGACGAAAAATCGCGGTGCACCTTTCATAAAGAAAAAGGGCACCGCACTGAAAATTGTACACCATTGAGACAACATTTAGAGGAGTTGGTGGCAGCCGATCACCTGGACGAATACATTGAAGGAGGGGCGCAGCCAGCCCCCTAGAATGATGATCAGCCGAACGGTATGCCAATCGACCCCCCACCTCAAGGCATGATCAACGTGATTCATGGAGTATTCGAACCTGAGCGTGTATGCGAGCTCAGGGGCATGATAAAGAAGGCAGAGAACTTAAGAGAGGTACTAAGCGCCCAACCTACCATCAAAAATGGGAAAACAGAGGCCACGAACGTCATCTCTTTTTCAGACAGAGACTTGGCGAGGATATACTGCCCTCACAATGACGCGCTGGTCGTCACACTCCGCGTTAAGGATTACGACATCAAGTGGATTTTAATAGACCAAGGTAGCTCGTGTGAGATAATGTACTACGACACCTTCAAACAACTGAAATTGGAGGACAAAAACTTGGCACCAGCTGTATCCCCCCTGATCGGATTCAACTCAATGCCAGAGTGGCCAGTTGGCAAGATTATCCTTCCAGTCAGGGCAGGAAGCGTGACAAAACAAGTGAAATTTTGGGTATTGAAGGTCCCTTCCATTTACAACTTAATCTTGGGAAGAGCATGGCTGCATGCCATGCGAGCGGTAGCTTCATCCTACCATCAAGTAATGCGATTCCCCAACGAAACCGGGGTAATTGAAGAGGTCTTTGGAGACCAAATTATGTCCAAGCAATGCTTTGTCACGGTTAATGGCAGCCGCGCTGCCAAGGGATATGTTCATTCGGTGGAAGAAC